TCGCACCCCACCCGCTCACCGTGGCTCGTCCACATGGCGGACAACAGAGCAACGCAGTCCACAGCTCCCGCCGGCGCACCGCACGCAGCCACCCAATCAGCGAGCGCGCCGCTCCCGCTCCGCCAACCCGCTAGCCAATCGGCTCCCGCGGGCCCAACCTCCCAGCTATGTCCGGGTTCGGAACCGGAAGTGTGACGTCACCGGGGTAGAGGGGTGACTTCCGGGGGGCGGGGCCGCTCCGAACCCTGCCCACCAGTACCCCTGGGGGCGGGGCGGTAGCCGCGGGGTCGGTGCTGCTTGCGGCCGCGCCGCTGGATGTGTAGGTCCGTATTCCCGGGTCCTGGGCCCTCTTCTAGTCTTTGCACCGATAGAGGTTGTGAGCAGTGAAGTAGAGGGGCTGAGCGGTTGGGGTTTTGTCAGGAAGTCGAATTGACTAGTAAAGATGTAAAATAATGTCATGCACCAAGTACAAACCCTCGAAAAAAGGGCTGGGATTATGGGGCAAAATACTTCGAATCGCCCCGAGCCACAGGGCTCTGCAGTGAGGGGACACGTCTCAATGTCTGACCAGGGCACTGCCCGACCCACAGCTCAGGGTTCGCATGCCAGCCTGCCTGCTGGTGGCCGCTGAAGAGCTGTGCTAATAGGTGTTTTCATCCATCTATCTTCCACGTTGTGTCATTGGATGGAATATTATGCATTGATAAGGATGATTTATTTTGCAATTAATACCAGATTTACCTGAATCCAAGGTGGTTTTGAATGTAGGATGCTTTAAGGCCACCCCAAGTAAGCCAATTCCATATGTGGAAATTGAGAACGTACCATCATTCTATAGCTCGCTGTCATTTCCCATGTATAGAATCTGATTATTGGAGGGTTGTCTTAAATCTGTCCTCAGCTGTAAAGGGGGAGAGGCACGGAGCCTGACCCCTGCCACTTGACCCCCATGCCCGCACCCCTGCCACCTGTCCCCTGATCCACAACTCACCACTGGGCCCTATTCACCTGCCCCCGGCCAATTCCCAACCCACCCTGCCGCCTGATCCCTGTCACATGCTGCTCTCCACCTCTGCCGCTGCCCAGGCCCCAAGATCTTCTGGCTCCTAATCCCAATGCGCATTACTGCCCAGTACCCTACCTGCTTCCCCATGTATACAGCTACTTCTACCCATGACCCCTGCCGCTTCCCAACCTCCCCCATGTGTTCTGTTGCCCAGTCCCCAACACATGCTGCTTCTGTTCCCATTACATGCTCTAAGTTTCACTTTCTTATGCTTTTAGTACACAGGTTTAGTTTTCTTTTTTTTTAAATAATGTATTCTGGTATTACATTGACCTGTGCCTCTGTATCTAATTTAAAAGTTACCATTAGTCCATTGGTGTCCAGGGTGATTGTCCAATTTTCAGAAGAATTAACTTCCTGTATTGTGCCAATGAATAATTCTTCCTTGTCCTTGTTGCATAGAGCATGCACCTGCTATTTCTTGTGTGGTGCATCCTGCTTCTTTCTGCAAACTTTTGCGAAGTGATTGAATCTTTAGCATTTGTTGTAGTGCTTACCAAATGCAGGGCACTCTATGGGTTTGTGGTAACTCCTACAGCATCTGTAGTTGACCACTGTTTCTTCAAGCAATTCTCTTTGGCCTCCACTTGCCTGCTTCATAGTGGGGTCCTCCTTCTGTATTGTGTGTTGCCATAGGTTTTTGTAGTCTTGTAATCCTGTCTAGTTCATGTTGTTCTTCTTTTTCCTCCAGCTTCTGCAGTCTGTTATCTCAGCCTCTTGACATATTCTAACTGCCTTTTCCAAGTTAAGCTCAGAATCCTCTAGCAGTCTTTTCCTGAGGCTTGTATCTCTTATACCTAATACTTTTTGGTCTTTATACCTAATACTT